ACAAAACCAGCAGCGCTTGTATGTGCTATGTATAGAAAGGGACTGACATCAAGAACTGTCTTACACAGTTGTAGACATTGGTAAATCTGGTTCCCTTCCGGTCAGGTTTCTCCTCATACTTGGAAGCTGATGAACAGGAAGCAGGATGAGAAGCAGAGACAGTGGTGGGCACAGGCTGGTGGATGCAGAGGTCCGAAGTCAGCTGAATGAATCCACCATCGGTAGTCCACTGATGGCTCCAAGATCAAGCAGGGGATACAACGGAAGATCGAGGAACCAGACACAAGGTCCATCTCCAAAGGGCCAAAAAAACCTCAGCTCTCCTCGGTCTTTCTCTCTCTCTCATACAGAAAGGTTTAGGACACCAAGAAGGTGTCATCAAGGCTTTGATGCAATTAATAAATTGAGCTCTGCCCCTACCCTTACCCAGAAGTGTGTAATTCACATAACCCCCACCTAACACATGCTTCCAGAAGGTTCTAGCCTTGGAAACCCCATGGAGTAGCTCTGCTCTACACACAGGGTGTCACCATAAATCAGAATCAATCCAATGGCAACCAGCACCACCACCAATAGCCAATAAAATCAACTTCCGTGCCATTGAGCCGATTCCAACTCACTGTGATCCTATAGGACAGGGCAGAAATGCCCTGTGGGTTGCTAAGACTGTAACTCTTTATGGGAGTAGAAAGCCTACTCGTTCTCCATAGCACAGCTGGTGGTTTCGAATTGCTGACCTGTGGTTATCAACCCAAGGCATAACCACGACACCGCCGAAGCCAACAGCCAATAACCCCCATAGCCAATCGTGGCGGGTTAATCAGGAACACATATATCACTAGGGCTGAAGTTGAGAAACCCTGCTCTGAGGTGCAGGACAGCCCTTAAGAAGGAATAACCTTCCTGCCACAGGCAAAGCTACAAGAAACAGTGGGTGGGGATGACTTCCTAATGATGGGGAGAGAACAGGAGAAGCTATCTCCTGAATTCTACTAAGGATTCCAAACCCCCAGAGGGAAAGTCGAGGGTCAGGGGTAAGTAGCAGAGCAGCAGCTTGCAGTCTGTAGGAGGTAGCTTCGAGGGGAGAAGAGGGTAGCCAGCCTGACATCGGCCTTCACTTGGGCTTTGCCAGCTCGGACAGGCCATGCATTTGGCCATGCCGGCTGGCAGGGAATACCCAGCCTCCTCAACAAGCAGACTCGTCCATTTTCAAAGCTTCCATTCTTCGGAAACCTTCCTAAGACAATCTACAAAATCCATTTTCTACTGATTGTACTTGAAGATGAGTCACGTGTGATGCCGGCTACAGCTTGATTTCAGGCTTTTAAATGGGGAGAGAGGCTATTGAGAGAAATTACAGAGTAGGAGAGATGGACAAAGGCACTCAACAGACTGAATCATTCTAATTTTTACGGGGAGTTGTGGCGGGTGGAGGGGGTGGGCGCATCCGCCTTAACCACTCGCCTCACTTTGCTTGAGAAAATAAACATATAGATCATGCTGACAATTTTATGCCGCATTCCACTGACTGGCATTAAAACAGTTTTCGGAAAACACTTGGGGAAATCAAAGAAGAAAGCCATGAAATGAGATGGCCAAGAACCACAGTCACCATTAGTGCTTCCATGATCATTCAAGGTCAATAACTTGCTCCAGCTTGTCGCTGATTCCGAACCTTCCCCACCACCACCACCCACCCCATACACCCACCCGAGTTCTATATGTGCACCTACATTTGCACGTCCACAGAATAGGGAGAAAGAGTGAGGTATCCTCATAGTAAAGTCTCGTTGTTGTTGTTGTTGTTGTTGTTCAGTGCCATCGAGTTGGTTCCGGCCCTCTGTGCAACAATCCCAGGCCATCTCCACAGTGGTTCCTATGTTGAGCCCATTGCTGCAGCCACCGTGTCCATCCAGCGCATGATTTTTTGCTGCCCCCCTGCTTTACCAAGCTTGATGCCCTTCTCCAGGGACCGGTCTCTCCTGATAACATGTCCAAAAGTACGTGAGAAGAAGCCTCGCCATCCTTGCCTGTGGGGAGCATGCTGGCTGTACTTCTTCCAGGCAGAACTCTGTTCTTTCGGCAGTCCACGGTCACCTGCACCGTCCTTCCAGGAGTGGAGCCTCTGGAGGGTGGAAATGGTTGATGTGCTCAGCTGCTCACTGAACCGTGGTGGGTTTGAGTCTTCTCAGCGGTGCCTCCTCAGGCGAAAGTCCAGGCAATCAACTGCAGATACATCAGCCACTGAAATTCCTCGGCGGCCCAGCTCTACTGGGACACATGGGTGTCCCCACGAGCCAACGTCTGTGCCACAGCCACTGGGGTTTGCACCCTGTTGGGGTCACACACTCCACAGGCTGGGGTCAGCCAAGAGAACAATTTCCAGTCCATACAGAGGCTGTGGCCACAAAACAGTTGCTCAGCCCTTGAGGACTGCGGAGCGCAGAGGAAGGGGAAGGTGAGGAGAGGAGGGGAGCAAGGGGGAACTGACCACAATGATTGACACATAACCACACACACCCCCTACAGGGGGGATGGGCAACAGAAATCATGGAGCAATGGAGACAGCAGTTCTCAACCTGTGGGCCGCAACCCCTTTGGAGATCAAATGACCCTTTCACAGGGGTCGCCTAAGACCATCAGAAAACACATATTTCCAATGGTCTTAGGAACTGAGACACCGCTCCTCTATCCATCTCCAGGGGGTCGGCCCACATGCAGATATGCCCACATATGAGTACCCAGAGTGATGACATCATTGCGCCAACCCCATCACATATACTCCATACAAACACAGGTGTATGTGACAGGGTTGGCACCATAATATACTTATACGGACCAGTCACATCTGTAGAAAGCAGCTACTGTGTAGAAAGCAGCTGCTATGTTGAGAGCAGCAGTATTGGAGGTAAAACAACACTTCATGAATTATAATTACATAATGTTTTGTGATTAATCACTATGCTTTAATTATGTTCAATTTGTAACGATGAAAACACATCCTGAATATCAGATATTTACATGACAATTTATAACAGTAGCAAAATTACAGTTAAGAGGTAGCAACAAAAATAATTTGATGGTTGGGGGTCACCACAACATGAGGAACTGTATTAAAGGGTCTCGGTATTAGGAAGGTTGAGAACCACTGGTATAAGGTATTAAAAAAACAATAATTTATCAAGGGGTCACAAGGGTTTGGGAGGGGGAAGGAGGAAAAGAGAAGCTGATATCAAGGGCTCAATAGAAAGTAAATGTCCAGAAAAGAATGATGGCAACATAGGTACAAATATGCCCGATACAATTGATGGATTGTTGTAAGAGCCCCCAATAAAAAGATCTTTTAATTTAAAAAAAAAAAGGACTGGGGAGCATTATTGAAGGCAATTTAAGTTTGTACCATGAGTGAAAATTTACCCAGCAGACCCTGGAACTCTTGAGTTTTTCCACGGCATAAAAAGATGATCTACCACACACAAATATACAGATTCCCTCCTTTGGAGCGAGCACGAAATCAACAGAAGAAACAGCTAGGGCTAGACTACTACACTGACTGTGGACGTCACCTGTGTGACCCCTCAGACAGAGCCGTCGGCTCATTGTCATTCCGGATCATTCCATCCATCAGGGCTGGAGCTGGACTCTGCTAAGCGATGCCTTGCAGAAAATGAAAATGATTAGTACCCCAAACAAAAACCTCAACTGTCATTGAGTCGATGCCGACTCACAGCGACGCAATGCGACAGGGTAGAACTGCCACTGTGGGTTTCCGAGACAGTCACTGTTTATGGAGTGGAAAGCCCCGTAGAAGGTGTACCTTTCTCCTGCTGGTGGTTTCAAACTGCTGACCTTGGGAATCACAGGCCAACGTGTAACCACGGTGCCACCAGGGCTCCTTAGCACTGCAAACCCGATCATAAAATTAAACTCCAGTCATATAGAAAGAGCCCTGGTAACCAAATGGTTAAGCACTAGGCTGTGAACCCAAAGGCCAGCCAGGGGACCCACAGGCAGCTCCGCAGGCGAAGCCGCTGTTGCTGCGGTAATCCACTCCGGTAAGGACCAGAGCATGGGACTGCTACTCTGAACTCGACGGTCAAAGTCGACTTGAAGGTGCCCAGCAGTCGGAGATGGGAATCAAATCATTTTTCTCCGCTCACTAAATAAGTCCCCTCCAAGACAGCAAAGTACCACGAAGAGAAGGTGAGGGAGGGGGCTGGAGGTTGGGGAGCGAAGAGGAGGGGAGGGAGGGGGCTGGAGGTTGGGGAGCGGTAGTGGCAATGGTTCGAAGTCTGGGCTGTCCAGTGTTTTATTTGCTGGGCAATGTCTTGAGGGTGCCACGTGCATGCTGTCATGCAATGCCCCCAATTACAATAGCCTTGTGAGTCAGAAACTGTCACAGATCTAGGCTCGGAAAATCGACAGGGTTTTCTGTTGTTGCTGTAGCTCAATGGCCGGCAAGGCCTGGGTGCCTGAGTTGATTTGGACAAACCCTGACCGGGGCTAAGTAGAGTCTGGGTTTGTCCCACTCGGTGGCCTTCCCACAGCCTTTGCTGCCGAAATGTATTGCAATATGGGTGAGTTGGGGGTGCTGCCCTGGGTCCCGAGAGGAGGCCTGTGTCAGGGAGCTTTCTGGGGGCCACAGCACCTTTCTGAACCTGGAAGCTTCTGAACTCAGAAGCGCATCCAAGGTTTCAGATAAGGGTTTGAGACCCTTCCCACAGCTGAGGACACACAGTCTTGGGAACTGGCCGTGGGTCACACAGAGAGAGTGAGTGAGCAGGAGAGATGAGACTGGGGACCCAGAATCCACATGGGTGGTGAGCTGTCACTGAGTCACCTGTGACCCTTCCAGAGACTACCCTGCATGCAACTGAAAGTCATAACCTCACATTTAGATCAGGCACTTTACTGACCGCGATCTATCGTGTCTTGGGTGTGCTGAAACTGATTTTCGATTTCACGGCTCTTAAGCTGATACGCAACCATCACGCACTCACCCTTTTCCTGCTCTCTTTCTGGCTGCTCATTTCACGAATCCTCTCCAGAACGGCGTCCTCCGTGGGCCCCGAGGTGCCCCAGCCGCCCTTCAGGAGGGCTGCGATCTTCTCCCGGAACGAGGCGTGCCGGCTCTGGGAGGCCGCAGCCTGGTCCAGACTGGCCTTCAAACTCTTCTCCAGCTCAGAAGACGTTTTCTTCAGGTGGCTCAGCTCCTGCTTCAAGGCATCCCAGACCCGCTGGCCAGCGCGCAGCCTTTCTTGGAAGACCTTGACTTCCTTTTCGAGAGCTTCTTTTGCCTCGACCGCCCTGAGCAAGTCCTGCCACAATGACAGAATTGAAGACAATGATATTAGCAGCCAAGGTGGCAGCCCTTGCATTTGCTTACCTTGTCTGCTTACCTTGTTTCCTAGTAACTTCAACTGGTAGGATTGGGTTCTTATGCCATTGTGAACCCCAAGTTCACGATCATCTCTTCATAATCTTAAAGAATAGAGTAAGTGCGATAAACAAAAAACAATGACCCCTCTGGGGATGGTTATCTATTTTCTGTTGACCATAAGCTAGCATGGGCCCGTGGAAACAAGGCTAGCGAGACTTCGTTTGACATACTCTGGACGTGTTTTCAGGAGAGACCAGTCCCTGGGGGTGGACATCATGCTTGGTAAAGTAGAAGGGCAGCAAAAAAGAGGAAGGCCCTCAGCAAGACGGATGGGCACAGTGGTCACATGAGAGGCTCGGGCACAGGAAGAGTTGTGAGGATGGCACAGTGCTTCATTTTGTGGGGCACTGGGTCACTAGGGGTTGGAACCGCCTCGACGGCACCTAACAATAGAACAAGAAGAAGGATGGTCCGAAGAGGCACCAAAGAGACATCTTTAAAGTGCAGCAAAAGGGCAAATATCTAGAGAGCAAGGGTTCTTAGAGGTTACAAGGAGCTGGAGGCAGGGAGAGAGAACAGGTTCACGATGGTGGAAATTTTACGATGCGTAAGAAGAGGGTTGTGCAACCGATTATTGTCACTGCCGTCAATAAGTTGGATACTTGTAAAAAGTTGTAGGATAGACATATTCACAGCAATGAATTCCACCCCCCAATAAATAAATAAATAGTAGCTACTCAGGCGGTTTATGTACAAGCAAACACCTCGTGGGATTTGGCTCCTGGGTTTGGAAGTTTAAAATCATGGTTTCATGAGACATCCCAGTTAATAGGCCTGAAAACATGTTTGATGTTTCTCATCTGCCTCCTCGTTCCCATCCTCGGCACAACGAGCGTTCCCTATCAGCCGGAAACCACGGGGGAAGACAGGCAGCGAGGGGCTGGAAGCGGATAGGGAACGTGTGGCCGGAAGCTATTGGCTGACACACTAGTTTCTACCTTTTCGGAAGATAGGGTATCTTCCTTTGGTACATCAGAAAATGTCAGAGAGCGGCTAGGTAGTTCGAGAAAGCCTGCCCTTTTCCAGAGTTAAAGTTACCAAATGAATGACGGGGCCCGTTTGGTGAACTGTCCTGTGTCCCAGGTCCAGAGCCAGCTTCGCTGCCCCTCCCCGTCTCCCTAAAGTGCTCTCCGTGGAGGAGCCCCAGCGGCTGCTAATGGAGAGACGGCTCTTCAAAGGAGAGTCCAGGACGCATTATCACAAACAGGCTATTTCAACAGTGTGCGGATTTCACCTCAGTAATGCAATAGCTGCGCCATCATAATAACGGATCTCCGCATTGGTGATAATAAATTGGGGCAGCATTCTACTCCAAAACGACCCTCAAATGCATGATTGGACAAAGGAGGGCATCCATGAGATGGTACCAAGATACAAACTCATCCTTGAGTTCTCACACCATAAAGAATAGTATCTGTTAACTTTTAGATTGAAAGAGGGGGAGGCCCCACAGCCAGTAGACGGATTTGTTAGTCAAGTACTTTACAAAAGACCCTCACGATGCGCAGAAACCCACCTGATGCTGCGGTGTCCACTGAAGTGGACTAATGGGCTGCAGTCTGTGGCAGGAAGCTCCGAGCACAATTTAAATAGTCCAACCAGGAGACATTTTCCCTTAAGACCAACAGTTGTTTGTCTTAGGTAAAAGGGCCAAAATGATCCTCTCACAAATCCAAAGTGTTGTTGGTGTTGTTTTGGTTTGGGGGGTTGTTTTTGTTTTTTTCCCAACTTTTTAGTGTGATTTGAGTGTAAGCCCACGAAGCAAATTGGTTTCCCAGTCACCAGTTGATCCCCATTTTGACTGGGGACATTGGGGCCTGCAGTGCCCACGAGGAGCCTCGTCCATTCCACTGCCTCTTTCCATCCTCCCTTCTGACATATTCCTTCCCGCCTGCTGGGCGCTGTCTCTGGGCACAGGCGGCCCTGCTGACCCTGTACCCTGGGCTGTCTTCAGACGGGCTTACCTCCGTGGTGTGCCTGTTTATCTCATGGGTCTGCTTACTGTCTGGCTGAAAGTGGAGTCATCGAGGGGAATTCAGTGGCAGGCTTGAAGTTGTCTTAGAACCACAGGAAAAGCACTTTTTCTTTCTTCTTCTTTTAACCTAAGAGCAAGGCACCTTGGTGGGGTCCTGGGTTATGTATTGGGCTACCAGCTTCCAGGTCAGCTCTCTAAGAGAAAGCTGAGGCTGTCTGGGCTCCCTGAAAGATTGACAGCCTCAGAAACCCGGAGAGGCCATGTTATTCTGTTCTGTGCAGTAGCTGAAAGTTGGAATTAACTTGATGATGAGTTTGTTTTGAGACTGTTGGGTTTTTGTTTGTGTTTGAAGCACAATCACATCGTAGGAAATTAGTCATTCATCCCAGAATCTCAGTGACTTATGTTACCGGGTCTGTTTTGTTTTTGGGTTTTTTTCCAGGACACTTTATAGCCCAGGGAATGATCAGCTGTGTTTCATGTGAAGTGGAGGCTTGGATGCGGTGAGGAGGCTTTGGGGGTCTGCCACTCCCCCTGCAGTGCTCTGGGTAGGAGCTTCAGCACTCGGGGGCATCCGGCTGATGGGCTGGAGACAGATGTTCTCAGGCTGCAGATGTAATTACCTGCTGAGTCCTCAGGAAGCAGGTACTGCCTTGGAGTCTGGTCGCATAGCGACCTCAAGGCTATGCTGAAGAGTCCACCGCCTAAAGCAATGTGACATCGGTATCAATGGCCAGGACCTGGGGCTTGCTGTCAGGCCACACTGACACACAGAACAAGAAGCGCTGCAATACCCAGCAGTGACCTCCACCGACACTGACGCTACATTTGCCAGCTGGGACAGCCCCTCCCGGCCATGCCTGGGACTGCATTACAAAACACAACCACGGAAGGAAAAAAAAAAAGATATATTTTTATGCAGCTCCACTACAGCAACAAATTAATTTATACCTAGAAACAAAAATATGTATACGTATTATAATGGACAGGATCCCATGTCACTTCCCAATTAGATTCAGCATTTAATACCCAAACCTTTCAAAGATTTGTGTGTTTAAAACATAAGTGATTTTTTACAAGGTTATTAGCTGTTATTAGGAGTCTTGATGGTATAGTGGCTAGTGTTGGACGACTAACCACAGGGTCAGCAGTTTGAAACCACCAGCTGCTCCTTGGGAGAAATTCGAGGCTTTCTGTTGCCATCGAGAGCTACAGTCTCAGAATCCCTCAGGGGAAGTTCTACCCTGCCCTAGAGAGTGGTCATGAGTTGAAATGTACTTGATGTCAGTGAATTTGGGTTTGAGGAGCTATTACTATTAGATGTGGAGAATAGAGCGATCTGGTTATGCTTGCGATCAAAATGCCAGTCAAACGCATGTCCACTAAGTCTAGCCAGGGTTGACAACCACTGGCTAAGCTTAATTCATTTAGTAAAATGAGGGATCAGTTGGTTATACCTACCCAGTTAACAAATAAGCTCAGAAGTTTCCCCAAACAGGCACTCACAGTCAGTCTCACAGACTGGTGAACTAGGGTAGACCTGACAGCATCGGACTGGGTTTGGTGGGAGTTCTCCTCTGAACTGATGGGGTTTTCTACTGATGGAGGACCAAAGGTGAATTTTGAAAACACTGCATTTGTTTCATTTTAAAGAGTCACAAGTAAATACCTCGAGCTTGCTGGGATTGCTTTTTAAAATCTCTTTTCTGTTCCCAGCAAACCTCCGTGAAAGAGGTTCTCTACCATTAAGTGGCTTAAAAGCACAACATAGAAACAGTTTGATGCGCATTATCCACTGGTCACCAAACAGTCCAAATGGGATAAGTTAAGGAGCACAAGGGAAGCCCATTGTCACCACAAAATGGCAAACACCGATGCAAGTGGTGTTTATGCAAAGCATGCGGATGGGATTTGGGGGTAGGGGATTTTTACTCAGAACTTCTTCCTCGGCACAATTACTGGACAATTGGAAAGCTATGACTGTAACAGTGATGCTCTGTTAATCTTCCACATACATAGTTTCAAAAGACAAAAGCTAACCTGCTATCTAATTCTTTTTTTCCCCCTATTTTTCATTCTGCTTACATTTCTAGAACTCTACCTTCATGTTGTTCTTGTCGTTAAAGGCCATTGAGGCAGCGCTGGCCCATAGAGACCCTGTGCCCAGCGGGACAAAGCACTGCACCATCCGGCACCATCCTCACAGGGGTTCCTAGGCCTGCGCCCACTGTGCTGCCAAAGGGTTCATCCACCTCGTCAAGGGCCGCCTTTGTCACCGCCCACACGATGTCCTTCTCTAGAGACTGGTCTCGCCTGACCATACGTCGGATGAAGTCTCACCATCCTTGCCTCTCAGGGACACTGTGGCCCCACTTCTTCCAGAACAGACTGCTTTATCTGTTTAGTAGTCTGGGATACTTTCTTCCCCGGGGTATTTTCATCTTCTTCTCCAGCAACACAATTCAAATACATCAGAAACAATACTCTATCTTAATCCCGTCTCATGAGCATAACAAAGTAACCCCATTTCCAAGTGGGATTATAGCTGCTCCCCCACTCAGAATCCAGGACAGATAAACCCCTCAGGAACAGTAATGGGAGTAACGATACCATGAGGGGAAGGGGAAGGTGGGGGGATGGGGAGAAACGGGGATGCAACTATAATGATTGATGTATAACCCACCCACCCCCAGGGGGACAAACAACAGAAACGTGGGTGAAGGGAGACAGGATGGTGTGAGATATGAAAATAATAATAATTTATCATTTATCAGGGGTCCACGAGGGTGGAAAGGTGGGGGAGGGAGGGAAAAAAAGGGAGCTGATACCAAAGACTCAAGCAGAAAGAAAATGTTTTGAAAACAATAATGGCAACATATGTACAAATATGTTTCATACAACTG